CGGCTCCAGCCCCTGCACTAACCACTAGACCCCCACTCCCCTCCCAGAGTCGTGGAGAGAACCCAGGAGTCCTGGCTCCCAGCCCCCTGCTCTAACCACTAGACTCCATTTCCCTCCCCAGGGGACGTGTCACATGCTCTCTCTCTCTCTAGGATCTCTGCGAGCCCCAGGGCTATGTCCACATGCGACACAAGGACTTCCGAGCCGAGCTTAGGAACTACCAGCGGAGGAGACAGCCTTGGAGCCTGCGCAGGATCCGCAAAGAGCTTTTCAAGCCCCTGTGCCCAGGGTCTCCCTTCCCATAGCAACCCAGAGCCCGTCCCTGACTCACAGCGAGGTACCCACTAGCCCCACCCCTTGCCTCTGAAATGGAGCTGCCCCTTTCCCGTTTGGCAAGTCAGACCTTCTCCTGCTGGCTGCCTCTGGAGCTCCAGCATCCCAGCTGTAATTTAAGACTCTAGCCTTTATGGTTGCAAAGAAAACCTTCAAAATAGGGGTCTGTGAATGAACCTGATGCAGTGACGTCTTCCTGAGTCTGCAGGCAGCCTGAAATGATAGCTCTGCGAGGTTGGACAGCTCCATTCAGCTCGTTGGATGTTGACTTGATGGCAGCATTGTTCACTTTTCATTTCGGACCCAGACACACAGGACAGAGGAGGAGCCATCATTTCATGGAGACCTGCGCAATTTGCCTTTATTGGTGTCACATTTTAGTGCCTCGAAAGGGTGGAGTTTGGTCTGTGGGTGGAGCTTGGGTGCACATCACTCCTTCCCCCTCCAACTGACCTCTGCCCCTGTCCCTGGGCAGTGATTGACAGGAGCTTCCCCCCCCCCAGGGCTGCCCTCAGCCCCCTCCCCTCCTCTCGCTCCCCTTCTTGCCAGGCAAATACAATAAAAGTGCAGCAGCATGAGTAAGTCAAACCTGGACTGATGCAGCAGCAGGTTTAAGGCCTGGCTCTTTGTGGCCACCTTGGTCTCCACTTGTTCCCTCCTCCTGTTGTCCTGACATTTCCTTTTACTCTCGCCTCCCTCCTTCCCCTCCGCACATGCTCCCTCCCCTCTCCTGCTGAGCCACTCCTGGGAAATCACGCCTCGCCAATCTACTAGAATTCTTTGAGGAGGTCAACAAGCATGTGGCCAAGGGGGTGTGACAATGCGGTTCTGGCGGAACCCAACCGAGAGTGCCAACTCAGGACAAATTGCTCAAATAGGGCAGTTACAGCCCAAGGCTGGGGTTTTTTCCACCTC